CAGAAGTTGGGGTTTGGGTGCTTTCCAAAGCATCCTTATTTCTATCAGCCAGCACTACACGAGACAAAGCTGTGGGAGATCAAAGGGCTGTTTGGGACACCCCAGCAACCCGGGGTTCAGCCCTGTTCCTTGCTCTCATCAGCCCCGCAGCACTTTGGTGTCTGGCAGCTCTTGGGCCATGGCCAGCAGATCCCAGCCCAGATGGCTGCTCTGGAGGTGGGGGGGGTGGAGGAAAAGCAGGGCTGAAAGAACATCTAGTGGCAACCAAAAACTTTCTCAGCCAGCCTCGAGACACCTCTACGTCCCTTTAGCTGTCTGCGTTATAAGCCAGCTTGGAGCCTGTTCGTTGCACTGGGATGCTTGGAACCTTTCCCCAGCTCTGAGAAAAGCTTCAACCATTGCATTTCCTTACTCAGGTATGGGAAATGCCACCAAAGCAGAGAAAACATGCAGTTTTATTTTGGGAAACCTGCTCAGAGGTTTATATAATCATTTAGCCCGTTAACATGGAACACGCACGCTAAGGGCAAAGAGGACAACCTGGCTGCCAGTGTGTCTACAGGAGCCACGTCCATCACACCAGCACAGGACACTGGATTGCAGCACAACCCCAGGAGCTTCCTTCCCAAGCCCCCTGCCCAACTCCCTTCACAAACATCAGGACCTCCTGCCCAACATGCCAAGCAGCATGGCTTTCTTGCCCAGTGCTTCTCCCTCCAGTTCTCCACCAGCTCTCCAGCAAGCCCAGGACCTGCAGGACCATGTGCGGCCACCATTCCCCAGGCATTGCATTTGGGTCCCGTCCTCAGACAGGACCATCTGACTTCCCAGCAGCAAAAACCACACATGCACGCTATCACCTTCAATGCCTGAAGAGGAGAACTTGCTCCCTCTTGCTAGGTATGACGAGCTTCACCCAACCATCAAACCAAAGCCAAGATCCCTGGGGGAACTGCTTTGTAGAGATGCAACATGCACCAGTGTTCATTTTCTGAACGCTGAGTGACAGGTTGTATTTCTGGTCCTTTTGCCGACCTCTGAAGCACTCAAACCCCCTCAGATTTTTCTCTTATCAACTCTCTGGGCAGAGATGGCCCTGTCGACACCCATGGAGGGCATCCAGCGCAACAGGAGCAGCTCTGCTGAGAGCAGGCAGGCGGGACCTGGGAGGCAGCAGTGACATGACATGAAGTGACAGGGAGGCAGGCAGCCAAGGCCTGGGAAAATCACCACGCCTGTGTTTTTGTTTTTCTTCCTGCACAACAAAAGGGGTTAGCGAATTCCTCTTGGATGGGTTTCAGACCCTCCCCCAAGAAAAAGAAGAAGAAAAAAAAAATCCTGCTGGTGTACGCTTAAGGCTGATAATTACAGGATTAATTATGATTTATTCCCATCATAAATCTCAGAGCAAGAAAAGGGGTTTGAGGTCTGCAAGATCTGCTGGATGACAGCAAGAAAACACAGCTCTAATTGCCCTTCTTTGTTGTGTTTAATTAAGGATTCTGCAGCAACTGATCTCTGTGTCTTTTCATGGTTAGAAACCTGCAAGGAAAAGAAAATCTTTCTGCAGAGCCACCAAGCGAAGCTTTGTTGGGTTACTAGGCACTAAGTGCGCTACCTCTGAACACTCGGGGCACCCAGAAAAAGAAGCTTATTAAAGGAAACGAATCACTACAGCAGGCTTTATTTTCTTCTCTTCCAGTAGGTTTCGGCGATTTTGAGATCACTTCTAAGCCCGGAAGAAATGTCTTTTGTCTTTACCCCCCAGCATTTTTGCCTCATTACTGCCCACTCCACTGTGGTGCATAAAAATCCGTCCCCGTCTCTATTACCTTCATAATTGCACCATTTACATTTTTCCTTGGGGTTTACCCCAGCTTCCTCTCTAAGTCCAGAAGACTTTTCACTTCTGCAAACACATCAGGAGAAACAAACCAGCCCGGAGCTCCTCAGCTCAGCTCCCTCCTCCTACCAGTAATTCCCAATCAAGCACCGCTCCTCCCCAACACGAACCAGTTTGCCAAGCGCTACCTCTTACATTCAAACTGTAAGTGACTGGCAGGGTGTTCCCTCTCCATTTTTATGGGTCAGCTAAAACAGTTTGCCAGGGAAATCCTGTTCCTCATTACAGTAATCAGTGTCGATCATCACGCCTGGCTCTGAGCGATGCCACCAGCCACCACTCAGCTCAGGCCGCCCGGGCTCTGGGAAGCTACGGGATAAAACTTGGGAAACAGAAGGCGCTTGGGACCATCTTTCTTGCAGAAAGCAATTGCGCTTGATAAGCACCTTCAGCTGAGGGCAGGACCACCATGAACTGCACCCCCCAAGGGAGCACCAGCAAGGAAGCAGAGGAGGTTTGGTGCTGCCCAGAAGGTAAAATCCCAACACTTCAACTGTTCAGAGCCACAAACTGGATAACAATGCCTGGAAAAGCCAATCTACAGAGGGAAAGCATCAAATATAGCCTTAAAAGAAAAAGAAGACTTCTTGGATTTGTCACGTCTGGGAAATGTCCTTTTAAGATCAGGAGAAAAGGATGGAGGAGGACAAAACCTGTACAGCACACAGGATGGAAACCACAACATCAGCAGCAGCATTTACTGAACCTTATCTGCTCTCAGGTGCTTGGCTTAGACCACAGAGCAAGCAGCCCAGGGTCCCAGCCCAAAACCCCTTGCTGGCCCTACATCGGCTCATGGGCACGGCCACGCACGCCAGAAGGGCCATTGCTGGGGAGTTCGATTGCTTTTATCATAACAGTTGATGACAGAAGCTGGAAAACAGCAAGCTCCAAAATCTGGGCTTGAAACACAAATCGAAAGACGTGGTTTTCCATGGGAAACCCAATTCCTTCCTGATTTCCTAGAGTTTCAGCTCCATGTCACCCGCATCACGATAATCCAAAGGGTTGATGGAACACCGGTTGCTGTGTTCCAAGGGCAATTACAGCCCGCTGTGACCAGCGGGAGAGGAGCACGGCTCCAGCGACTACACAGGGACCCCGAGATTCACAGTAACTCCCTGCAACTGCTCACTAGTCACACAGATCATGGAACCACGCAGGTTGGAAAAGACCTCCAAGATCAACAAGTCCAACCGTGAAATATATATATATATATAACATACATACACAAACATATTTATATACACACAAGTACATACAGTACTGATAATAGTCCTTTTCTTCACCCATCTTTATCTTTTTGGGATATATTTGATAGATATATATAACATGCACACACAAACATATTTATATACGCACAAATATGCATGATATTGATAATAGCCCTTTTCTTCACCCATCTTTATCTTTTTGGGATATATTTGAGAGATATCTATAACATGTATACACAAACATATTTCTATACCCACAAATATGCATGATATTGATAACAGCCCTTTTCTTCACCCATCTTTGACCTTATCTTTTCTGGATAACCCACTCTTTGCAGCGAGCCCCATTCCCTTTGCTGCCCGTAGCGACAAGAACGTTGAATTTGAGCGAAGCTCGCGGTGCAGAATAATAAATCAAACAGAAATAAAGACTGGCCCCAAAGCAAAGACCAGTGGTGAAAGAAGCCATTTTCCACGTCCTGCAAAGCCTGGGCGGGGGGGGCCCACTTACTCGAAGCAGGTACCCGGTTCCCAGCAGAGCCTCCGCGCAGGGGTCCCCGTCCCGGCCGCCGAGCAGAGCTGGCTCCGAGCTGCAGCTTGGTAAAGGCCGACACCTTGTGGAGCTTCCCATCACCTGCAAGTCAGGAAACTGGGGCTTTTCTCTTTTTTTTTTCCTGGCGAAGGCGGTGGGTGGAGTTGATAGATCAAGGGCTAAATTCCCAGCACCTGGCATGTAATGTGGGGGGAGGCCCGGGGTCATTAGCAGGTTACTGAAGACAAATAACACCAAACACTGAAAACTGTAAAAAACGAAGTCATAGCCCATTTGTTTCTGGAGGGGGGAAAAAAAAAATAACAAACGATTCTTTGGGATAGGAGCCCTCTGTAGATACATATGGCCCACAAGGCAGGTAATAAGAAGGTCAGCTTGTGAATGCTGCTTCTCTGCAATTTTGCAGCCCCATGGGATCCCCTCCTCTGTTTGCCCAGCGGGCTGGGAGGCTCAGAGCCCACAGCTGCTTTGGAGAAGCGGAGCTGCACCCCCTCCTGGGAGGTGATCCCCAATTCTCACCCGAGTAAATGGAAACGGGCTTGAGACCTGCAGCGCGTTAAACCTGAGGCGAAAGAAAAAACATTTCTTTGGGTTTCATCCAAGAGGCTTAAAGCCAAGGGACACCTATCATCTGAAGCAGCAGCACATTCACTTAATAATTAGCAGTTGCATTTATTTTACGATTTATCTGTGAACATGGAATTTATTGCCATTTAATACACGCTTAAAGGGGAAAAGAAAGCAGCATCCCCACAGCAGAGACTCAGTGTTAACACAGCAGCCAAACCTGCCTCCCCTCACTAGCCAAGTGCTCATTACTGTGCAAGTGCGTACAGCCCCAAGGAAAAAAAAAATAATAACCACTCACCTAGGACAACATTAACTTTCTCTTCATCGTGCTGCTCCACTGCCATTCTAATTCCCTGACTTTGTATTTATTTAGCATTTTACACCTTCAAGCTATTCTAAAACACATACTAGCAGACCTAAAACTTCAAGCTGCCCTAGCAGAAAAACATTCAGTAATTACAAGGGCTAATATATCCCTGTTCTTGCCACCCGACTGTGGGTCAGGCTCACCTGCGTACCCCAATCCTCCGTGCCCCCACTCCAGGCATAAAGCACAGCACCTGCAACATCTTCCCGCAGAATTTATCCTTCCCTCTCTGCCCAGTTCAGCTGCATCGTTAGCTACTGGTCCCAGCAGCTGCATCATTAGCTACTGGTCCCAGCAAACCCAGCACTGTGGACCCATACGCTGCCTGGGAGTTTTCAAGGGCTGTTACACTGTAGCTTAACACTATGCTTTTATTTTTCTTTTTGTACCCAGAGACATCATCATGAAGAGATGCCACTTGGATGTCAGTGTGATGGAGAGCATCACCTTCACCGTAGCTGCTTACACTAACAGGGGCTGATGCAGGCTAGAATTTAGGATGTTCATACCTGTGTGTTTGTCCCCGAAGAATGGGAACTGTAAAATATCTATTGCACGTACAACACTAAAGTAAAGAACTGCAAAGCAGGCCGGTTAAATGGGTAGCCAGAGGCCACCTAAGTCAATGCAATGTACTCCTTGAAATTCCAGAAAGCAGAGCAGATCTACAAGTTATTTACCATTTGCTTCCAGCTAAGTTTAATTAAAATTGTTTGAAAAACAGTGGACATCCTTCAGAAAGCTGAGTTGGTGCAGAAAACAGAAGAGGCTTGCTTTAAGAGGAGCCAGGGTACCACCTCCGGGGGTCTCACTGCAGCATCTGCGCTCAGAAGCCGCCAGACGTTTTCATTTCGACGCTTTCTACAAATCGTATTCTGCTTAAGCCAAACTAAATCTCTTCCTCCCTCTGCCCTGCCCAGAGCCCAGCTTTACTGCTTGGCCTCTGAGCTGCAAAGTCCATTTCCAGCCAGCTCCCCGCTGCCTGGCCAGTCCTGCCGGGCCCAGCACCAGCTCTGCGGAACTCAGCACCCACCGCAGCAGGAACAGCCCCAGGACCCCAACCCTCAGCCAGGAAAAGCTCTTCGTATCGCTCAGCCTCCCTCACAAATCTTTACGCTTGTACCCAAGGTCACATAACAGTTTTACTGAGATAATAACAACTAAGAGAAAGATTGATTTATCTTTACTAACACAGCAAAAGCAATAAAATGACAGCATAAGCCCAAAGCAACGCGCAGGGGGCTCACGTCACCAGAGCAGGCTTTGCTTTGTTAAATAATAAATAAACCCCGTTCAGGGGAGCTTCGCCGGAGCCCGGGGAGATGCGAACCCCCCCGCTGTGCACGTCCGAATGCACAGCACTGCACCTTGGGGCCTCGCCCTCACAGCCCCCCCGACTGCCAGGGCAGGGGAGCTGCACCCCAAAGGCTGCACCCTGGGGCTCAGGGAGCAGGGGCTCTGCCGGGCACGGCTCAGGGCCGGTGGCCGGGGCTGTCTCCTCGCCTTTTCCACCTGCCCTGCTCCTCCTGGGCGCTGGGGCTCCTGCCAGCACCAGCAGGTCCCTGCCCAGCTCTCACATCTCTTTTGGGGTGAATTCACCTGCTTTTTTTTGCTTTTTTTTTTTTAATTGAGGGAATGGCAGGTTCTTCCTCACAGATATAATCTTTTATTATAGATGGCCTCTATTTATATATAAACTGTCCAGCCTCCTTTGATGTGAAGAGCGCCTGGATGGTTTCATACTGACGTCCCCTTACAGGGGCCAAAACAACAATTACAGGCAAACCTTTCCTGCCTGCAACGGAAGCCTGCAGGTGGACGCATTTCCAAACGACCCTCTGCTTAAAAACACGTGAAGCATCTCATTTTTCTTTCGTGTACGTGTACTCTGACCGCCAAGGCAAAGCAGCGACTGAGGTGGGATAAGGAAATTTTCATCAAGACCCCCCTGGGAACACGGGTGACCCAGCCTTCCTCTCCCATTTTGGTGCAGATGTACATCTACCCGTGCACATGTATGCAAACGCCGAGATCATCGCTGTTCTTAAACAGTTTGCCTTGGCCTGAGCCACGGACAGAGCCTGGCATTGCAAACACCGCAAACAGACCAGTGTATGACCCCAAACGCGACAGCTACGGGCATCTCCATGTATCTCCGGATGCTGTCCGTGTGCCGGGGTGCGGGTGCACGCCTGCAAGCACGCAGGGGCCTTGCGGGCACCTGGCTGGGCGTACACGGACACACGGACGCGCGTGGGCGTACGCACATTCACACGCGTGCTTGTGCGTGCACGTCAGCGCGGGGGTGGCCCCCCAGCCTTGCCCTCCCGCCCTGAAGCCCGGGGAAGGAAATGGGGAATTCTCTCGCGGGTGCAGCCCTTGTACGTACAATGCCAGGGAAGGGATTATACCAGGGATTAACATTTTAAACTCCCCTACCAGACCTACTGACTCAAAGATTCTCGGGCCAGTAATCGTATTACTGTCTCTGGGATTACTGCGTTCCTGGGTTCAGACCTGAATTTCAGGATTCGGTGGGAGCTGCCCCCCAACCCCTGCACACCCCAAACTCCCCAGGCTAGGGCAGGAGCCACTGCGTTGGGGCTTTTCTCCTTTTCTTTAGCTATTCTCTCCATTTTCCCTGCCACGGCGGGGAGAAGACTCCATGAACGCTTTTCTTGTCGCCTGCCTCCTCCTAATTCCCGGTAATTTATCCCGTATTAAAACTCCCTTAAGGAAGAATGGCCCAGGACCCAACACCTGCTATGCAAATGGCAGCAAATCCCCCGGGCCCCCGCAGCGGGGCGGTGGGGACCCGTGGGCCGCCGGTGGTCCCGGGGC